AGTAAATGGGGCCCAAATGGGGCTCCCATTTACTGAAATACCATGAATTTCGATCCCCCATTCCAAACGTGAGTACCCCAGGCCATTTCCGTTACACTATCAATAATTTTGTCGGTTTACATAACTATTCAAACAGAACGTAACCTTGTCAGAAAAAATAGTTTTTTATTAAATTATTTTCTAGATTACACATATTTTGCATACTTTCGCGAAAATCATTTTGCCTATAAAGTTGATCTTCAAATAACTCTTGCAATAGAATAACAAAAAAGTAAGAAAGAACAAATATTTGTCGTTTCGAACTATTCAGGGACAACATATCATATTTTCGCATGTGCAAATTGACGCCAGTATGCAAAAGGGTAGATAGATAGGTACATGGATTTTCTTTCAAAAAAAGTAAAAGAACAAGATTTCCATTTTGATCTCTCACCTCTTATATGACCAGATTCCCTGAATTCCAGTAATGTCTAAATTTTCTGCTACATAATTTGTTCGACTTTATACAATTAGTTGTGTATGATCCATTCTTAGAATAAGAAAGACTTTTTCGCGTGTGATTTCTACAAGCTAAATCTGAAACGTAAAAAGCCAATATTTCAAAAATCACTCGAGATGTCGACTTTCCACAATTGTACGTTTCTGTCGAAGGAAGAAGGTACTCGAACATATTAAATTTAATATGTTTACATGTTTGTTACAATTAATTGTACAAAAAGTGTCGCATTATGAATCACAAGAATTGAAGCACCAAAACTGATTGAAGTTTTTTGAGAACCAAACACCTGCAATAATACTGAAGTTGAGTAGCACAATCAATTTGGTTTCAGACGATCCGAGGCAACGAAAATTACCTTTCCATTTGGCAAAGCCAGAATCAAATGCGGTTTTAAACATAAACATAACAAACAGGATTCGGAGCTCATTTATTAACTTAAAAAAACATGTACCGTCCTGAATACCTTTTGATACATCACTAGGCATATTTTGATTGATTTTCATTTCAAGCTTGAGTTTTGATCTTTCCAAATAAAAAAAGCGCTGGAAGATCAAGAGAGATCTGTATTTAACAGATTATTTATTCTAAGGCTCTTTTAAGAGCGGGCTATTAACTGTGTTATTTGCGAACTAAACCCAGATCAAACTTATAGATTTAAATCGTGTTTAGAGGCTGTTTGCTGGTAACAGTCCCTAAAATATATATTTTGGTGCGTGTAGTTTGAAAAGTATTTAGTGGTTGAAACTGGCTTTTAACGCCAGATTAGACCATATATTTTTATTCGTTTCTCACTCTATAATAGCGGAGCAATTAAACATAGTATTTATTTCTCCAGAAACTCAGCTTTTGTTGACGTAATTTTTCAAAATATTCAGGCAACCTCAAATGCGCTTTCCGTTTGCTGTTTCCTTAAACCTCTAGTAAACATAAGCAAAAATGAGCCAATCTTATTAAAACTCCAACTTACGCTACACTCAAATGCACTTCTCCATTCCTAAAGTTCCGACTAAAGACTCTATAAGTCTAGAACATTTAGGTTGCTCGCAATTTCGTGAAAAATACTTTTCACATACTTAACGCAACTTTACACTTTTCATCCAAATGACGGTCACTAAATATCTAATAGAAAACTGTGCAAGAACCGAATTTCAAAGACGTTGATGGCGCCATGCAAGAGTGAACACTTTTATCGGTAGTTTTCTCGTACGCCAGACATACACCTAACCTATAAACGAGAACCGTGAGATTTCCGGACGGTACTAAAATGAAAATAGAACTAAAGTGAACACTAAAAGTTAAAAATAAATTGGTTTCAGTGGGTGGGAAATTCAACGGTTGAGTCGGTAAAATTACGGCTAATAAGCAAGCCGGGCGATGTTTTTATTTCAAGAGTTTAATGTCTTTATAAAAGAAAATTATTAATTTCGCATTTGTTTCCCATGAAAGCGGCAAAACAATTTCAAATCAATTTTCAAGTTTTTAATAGATATTCATAATTAATAACTCCCAGAATAAACTGAGATATAAAATATTGTTTCCGCTTGGACTSACACAAATACAGAGATGAAAAATGAGGTTTTCAATTTTCCTGAAGAGTTCTACGACTATAGAAATATTGTTAGTGGAAAGAGTYTTTTTTTTTAATGCCCTTTAATGCTATATTGATTTTACTTGGGCTTAACTATCGAATTTATAGGTTTTTACATATATTTTTTACACAGCTATCCATAAGTGCTTCCTCTCTTGCGAAGTACACTTTTAAATATGTTTTATCAAAATTGGCCACTGCTTTTTTCATTAACTTTTTYATCTGTGTRGTTTGTTATTGCTTGTCTATCCAATATGATATTGTCATGGTAATCAAACGTAGCCAAATTCTGATYATGCGTGGAAATAAAGGCAAACGTATATCTATTCGTGAAAATTTGAAAGTTATCATTTGCAACCTTTTTGCAGCAATTTACTCAAGATCTTTGATCTTTTGGTGCAATAAAAACGAACTAAAGGCAATTATATCCATATTCGATATCCACTAAAATTTCGAAGGTCTTTAATTAAGTTTTTTCAACAATTTACACAAGACTTTTGATTTTTCATCTGAAACGTTATTCTCATCATATAAATGTTTATGAAACTATATGATTATGATGAACAATTTAAAACGCATTTTCAATAAGGAACATATAAACAAAGTATTCAATTTATAATAAAACAGTTGTTTTTTTTTAGTGAACATATACTTATTCTTTAATTTCTTTAGAACCATAGTATATTGCGATACAAGAGAGAACATAGAAAGAAAAGAGTACATAAGAACATTTGTAATGGGTAAAAGTGATGCTTTCGCCGTCGAAAACAGTGGCAAAAGTACGTACTTGGAGGAGTTATTGCATTAGTATTTTCTATTGCTATTTTATACTTTCTACCCTTTCTACAAAAAAAAATTCAGAAGAAATTTTTACCCTTTAAATAAAATTATTATAAAAAATATGTTTTGAGTATTCTTTTCTATTATTACATTAACTTGAATCGGAGCCCGCGCTGTGGAGGATCCATATATGTTAACAGGACAAATTTCAACAATTATATATT